ATTATTGTTCCCTTGGGTTCCTAATGGAACATAAGGCTTCAACTGCACATCTCCACTTGCTTCTGTCTTCTGCTGTACTCTCCACCTGCATCCATGTTAGTCCATAGTGTTTCAACTTCTCTTCACACCATCTCCATGTCACCCTTGGACGTCCCACTCGCCGCTTCCCTTTCGGGTTCCACTCCAGCGATGGCCAGACGCTCGCGCGATGTCACCCAGCGGCCTCCTCACCGAGTGTCCACTCCACCTCCACTTTCTCCTGCATATTTGTTGGTTGGCGATTGGTTCTTGTTTTGTTTCTTCCCATAGTTTCTTGTTGGTGATTCATTCCGGTCCGGCCATCTGACCTTCAGTATAGAGCGAAGACAGTTGTTGATAATGGTCTGCAACCTGTTGGAAATATTCTTTGTGACCCGACAAGGTTTTGATCTGTATAGAAGAACTGACTTGACGTTTGTATCGAAAATCCGAATTTTGTTGTTGATGCTGAGTGACGAAGATTTCCAGATTGATTTCAGGTTGATGAATATGTTTCTCGCCTTCCCGATTCGATTCTCGATTTGACATCCTCGTCCGCTCCTCCTGTAGTTGAGACAATGCTCCCTAGATAAGTGAATGAAGTAACCTCTTTCAAATCCCTCCCGTTGATGGTGATTGGCGCGGGATGTTTCCGCTTTTGTTGTTGGTTGGTTATTTTCATAACCTCCGTCTTGTCCATGTTCACTTGAAGTCGTGTCTTCACCGGCTGCTTCTTCGACTAGTTTGTCGGTTTTCGCTTGTTAGTCTTCGTTTTTGTGTGACATCAAACATAAATCATCCACACGCGAAATCCAGGTCTTCTAGGTTCTTCACGTCGGTCCAGGATATCCCTGTCTTCTCGTTTCCCACTGTCTGACGCATAATCCAGTCCACCACAATTAGGAATATCATTGGTGATAATAAGCACCCTTGTCAGATTCCTGTGTTTAGTCCAAACACCTCGCTGAGTTTTCCGTTGTGGATCACTTGGCAGGTGCCGTTCTCGTACAGCTGTTGAATAAGGTTGGTGAATATTTGGGGTACGCCGTAGTACTCGAGTAGTTTCCAAATTACTTCACAGTCAATGCTGTCAGAGGCCCTCTGGAAGTGTATAAAGTTGAGGTAGAGGTTTGATCTCCATTCCATTCTTTGTTCGATGATGATGTGTAGAGTTGCAATTTGGTCAGAACATGATTTGCCTTTCTTGAATCTAGCTTGTTCTGGTCGGACTTCTGTCTCCAGTGCGTCCTTTATTCTCTCCAGGATGATTTGACTCAGAATTTTACTTGGCGTCGACAGGAGCATGATTCCTCGCCAGTTCTTGACGAGTGAGGCGTAAGTCGCCCTTCTTTGGTAGTTTAACGAAGTAACCTTTCCTCCAGTCAGTAGGCACCTTTTCCTCCTCCCAGACCCTTTTGCAATAAAGGAGTCAGCATATTTGCTGTCGTCTCTGGGTCCGCTTTCAGTGCTTCAGGGGGTGTTCCATCTGCTTTTCCAGCTTTCAGAAGCTTGATTGCATTCAAGGCTTCAGCTTTCGTTGGAGGATTGGTGTCAACTTGCAGTTGTGTACGTGCTGTTGTTGGTATTTCTGGACGGGTTGCAGGTGATGGTCAGTTCAAGAGTCCTTTGAAGTGATCCGCACATTGTTTAATCTGTCTTTCTTCCTTGGTAATTGAGTTCCTGGGGCTGTCTTTTATAGGTTTCACTTGTGTTGATCTGTTCACGGATAGAGACTTGGTTATCTGATATAGTGTCCTCAGGTCCCTTTTGCCTGCTGCCTTCTCAGATTCAGTGGCCAGATTGTCGTAGAATCGTCTTTTGTCCTTCCCAGCACTCTTCTTTGTGTTACAGTTTCAGAATATAGTTCTGACTCCACAAGTTTTCAAGATATTACTAATCAGAATAAAGGTATAAAACCTTTGAGGAATCATGAGGAAGAACCTAAGTTATCTACTGTTTTTATTAAAAAGGTTGAAAATGATGAAGTCGATCATTTTAACAGCGGTAAAATGGCTATTTGTGACAATGGTCGTAATAGTGCACATTTATCTTTGGCTGATCATGATGAGATGAGAGAAATGCCTACTACTACTGAGTTGAACAAAGGTTCTGTACAACTTGAACGTTAAGTAGACTTAAAGGCAGATGCGGTTGCAGAAGGTATGGATACTCATGAGACTCAGTGTAAATGATCAGCGTGTAGCCCACCTATCGACAGATGTTAATGCTAAACTGGAGCTAACCATAAAAGTTAGCAGTGGCGGTAATCCTACGGTTAGACAACCTTCTAAAGGTCGAACAAACAACAGCTTCTGATGCACCGCTATGTTCATCAACTTGTGTCACTCAGTCGTCGTTGGTGTTGTCATCCACAATGACAGAGACGTCCATGAACTCAGGTGTCTTATGCTAGTATCGGTCTGTTTGAAGGGACAAAACTCAGTGGTCAGTTCAGGGAGGATAAGCCAACTGTGTGTGAGAGTGTAATTGTTAAACTGACTTCCACGAATAAAGGCCTTTCAAGTTACTGTTTGCATGTTATTATCGTTGGTGTAAATTACTCTGTGCCTTCGCTTGGTTGGTCAGATACGTCGTATGTTTGTTAGTCATCTATATTCTACGATACAATGTCATGGGCGTGTCACCAATCAGAGTTGAGGATATAGATGATGGAAGGTCACCAAATGAACTCTACGACGATTTTCCAACCTGGGGCGTCAACCTGAGAAGGGTTGTAGGCGTACTAGTGTAAGTTCTACAATTCTTCAAGGGTAGTTCGTCATGGCAGAATCCACAATATTGGATGTATTGATTGTACATGTGTTAAGTAATTGAGTGGGTTCCAATTCATCTAATTGTTGGTTTAATTTTGCAGTTGTCGCATGGTTTGAATCATCTTGTAATGTTATTGTAAGTACTTCTGAAGTCGTTTCTAGTCTTCTAAACTTGTGAACGAATCGAGTGGTGTTAGAGTCGTTGTATGCGATTTGATACGCTGAGGAGGGGATTGTGCCAGATTGACATAAAGCAACCGACACCCCGTGGACCAGATCAGTGGTGGTACTGTCGACAGAGAGCGAAGGAAAGTTCAGACCACTGAGGGAGATCCCACACGCCGGGGAGAGCATGCTGTAGTATGCTTGTTGTGTGCCGGACTCTCTTGTCTTGCTTTTCCATTTTAGTCTACTCCCAGTTGACCCAGGTTCCTGCGTTGGCAGTCCAGTTCGAGGTTATCGGCGCTATGGAAAAAAGGGATGGACCCTTTTTTGCCTGGGAGTGTCAACGAATATGAACATTGAACGTTGGTCCATTGACCCTGGTAGCCGTTGGCGTGCAACTCGAAGGCGTGAATGGTTCAATCATGTAGAAATTGAAAGAAGACGAATAAAAGTACTATACATTATTTGTAAAACATTTATTTGTAGACTCTGTATGATATATCGAATTTGACAGCTGAAGAATATATTTTCTTATTACAAGTCCTCGTGTTTTGGATTTCAAGTCGTTCGTCATACTCAGTAGATGTCGATTCTGAGCGTCTTCGCAAATCATATGAACTTAGGGTTAAGTACCTTGAAATATGTCTTTTGGTGTAAAATAACATTTATCTTCCTCGTTCTATATTAAATCGTGTCAACACCTTGAAGTTCACACTGCAAAAAGCGATCAAGCCGAAGGAGGATTTAAAATAATAGTGCCAGAAATAACTGACACATTTAATATTTCTTGTAGGCTGATTAAAGAACTAACATGTATAAGAACTGAAACCTAACAACCATTTACAGAAAATATTAACTATGGTACGGGTAGAATACCTGCCAACTACTCATCTGGTCGAGTCCCGACTCCCAACAGAGGCCTAATTTACTAGTTGATAGACAGTCAACCTGGAGAAGGAAAGTTTGGCGTGAGGCTAGAAACTTTACCTCATAGGGGGAAGAAACAACACATCACTGCTACTGGAACTTCAAAGTTTGGGAAATCCTGTGCCCCATTTGGAAAACAGAGAAATGAAGAAAGGAAACAATTAATAACATTCGAGATGATTCACTTGAATAAAGCATTATTATTAAATAAAAAGTATTTACACATTTTGAATTTTAAAAAAACAGAAGAAAAACAAGCGGAAAAAAGAAATTCTATCTTGTTAAATATGATTTAAAAGGAAAGAGCAAGATAAAATAACTTTTCAGATTTTAAAAAAGAGAGTGGTTCCATAAATAACACTAAGGTGACCTTTTGAGGCGTGTGTCTTTCTGAATGTAAACGCATATTAATAATACAGATATAAGGAGGGAATAACAAATAGAATCAGGAAGAAAAAAAAACACATAACGCGCATATACTTACCAATCGTCTTAGATTGTTATAGTTGTTATATGTACAACAACACTCACAGGAGACTGAAAATCCATCACTTGTACAAAACAACAACATAAACGTGAATATACAATGAAAAAGAGTAGATCAGGACAAAGTGGGTACTAAGATACGAATATTAGATAGCCAAATAGACGGGTAACCACTTAGAAGTGATAGCAGTAATAATGGGGCATACACAAATTATCCCGTATTACTATATTTCCCATGATGAAACAGTACAAGCCATATATATATATATATATGATTAGGAAGTATCAGCCTCCAACTGAGTAGATCGACCACTTGGTGTTACTGAATTATTACCTTTAAATTTATCAGTAGTAATGTTCAAGTCATCATTAAAGATAGCAGGTTTCACTGGACGAGAAAATGGAGCTTGAACAGTGACAGTATTTTCATAATCAATTAATCCAGAAGATACCTGAGGTGATTGTACAGTAGAACTACTTGTTGTCGACAAAGATGAAGACATATCAATATTGAAATGAGGATTTATAACAACACATGAATCATCTTGAATATCATCATTCATATTATTATTATTGATTGTTGTACTCCCAGTAGTCAAATTAATAGTGACACCAGAATTACAAACATCATTAATTGATGTAGTTTTATCATCTACAAGACAAACTTCACCATCAATATCAAGAATATCATTTTCAGTCGAAAATTCTGAACTAGTTGTATCTTTGAATTTTCTAAAACAAATTGAATTTTTAATTGATGTCAAATTAGCAGGTGTAAACAACGCCAACAATTCATGAAATGGGCTACGATTATGATTAAGTGAAACAGTAGATGCAGAAGGGAAAGAACAATTTCCTTGAGATATTGATGAAATTAATGTTGATGCAGTAGCAGCAATAGGAGTAGGATCAGTGATTATACGGTCATGTTTAAAAGTGGATGATGCATGGTTTAAATCATTTTTTAAATTTGGTATTAATCCACAAAATGGTCTAGGTAATGATGACTGATGATGATAAAATGATGATGTTGGCATATTTGATGTTTGTGTATTCGACTCTGAAATTAATGAATTTAATACACTTTGACCTTTATCAAAATCTAGTAAACTAGCATTCACTGCAAAGTCAATTATAGCACGATAACAAAAGGTATATTGTGACGGGACTTGTACACAACCAAACCTTTGTGAACGCACCCGACTAACTGTCAATGGAATATTGATTTTGTGATCTGTATTCCGCGGATCGGTTAACCATTTTGTGCATATATCGACGGTTACATAGGTACCTAACATTTAAAAAAAAGATAAAGAAAATGAACAATAAAGGCATTTAAACGTCTTATGAGTAGTTTTTTTTTCAATGAATGAGTAACAACACATTGTAAGCTTGTAATCCTAAAATATGGAGCATTTTGAACAATACAGATTTCATAAAATAATAGTATACACAGAAATATATACATAAGTGAAGAAAAATTGAAATCTACTACACATTATGTTGACAATGTTTTCACAAACTATTCACACAGAGGAATTACGCTTAATATCTCTATAGGTGATGATTACCAATAGTGATGATGAAATTCTTCAAATTACAAAATATGCGAAGTATTTATTCATTCCACTTCATTTTCTTCCTCCTTATTGTAATCGTCACTCTACTATTAATTTTTGACAAAACTTGACGTAAATATAAAATTTTAATTCAACCTCTAACAGTTTTGCAATTCATCCACTCTAATTCTCCACACACAAACCTGTAAATCATGTTAATTATATTTATTATTATCGTATGTATACTTACTGAGGAATTTTTAGTGAAGAAACTAATGATGGATTGAGCTTCATTTGGACATTTTACTGTATACAGAATGATTACACACTTTTCTATAAAAAAGTATTATTCAGCTCTGTTTGATATTAGGTTGAATAGTAATACTGAATTTTTATAAAGTGTCCTATCTACTAATATTATAATGAAATTTTGCACACCTTAACACATATACACAGATTCAGTAACAGACAGAATAATGTACGATTTCGAGAATGATACTGCGCACAATAAGAACTAAGGTGAACATTTTACTAGTCCTATTAATGAATGTCAAGCACAATCACCAGGAGTAATTGTCGTTCAGTACGATTAGCATAATGGCTTCAAAGAAAGGGGGTGAGTTCATATGTCCGTTGACTGCTGAGACAATATCTCAATAAGTTTCTATAGTTTTTGGTTTGTAAGGATTAGTTATGTTTTACGAGTTGATCACGGATTGATATCAGTTAGAGAACCATTGAACCGGTGCATTAACAGCCCCAACTAGAACGTTTGCTACAGGACATGTTGGATAAAAAGATCATCGTACCTTCCTCGTCCCCATGGGCGTCACCTATTGTGTTAGTTAAGAAGAAAGATGGATCCCTCCGTATGTGTATCGACTACCGCAGGTTGAACGCCGTGACGAGACGTGATTCCTTCCCGATCCCTCGCATTGACTCTACTCTCGACGCACTGAGTGGCTCGAAATGGTTCTCCACGTTAGATTTAGCATCTGCGTACTGGCAAGTTGAGGTACACCCTGACGACTGCCCAAAGACTGCCTTCATCCTTCCGACTGGGTTGTATGAAATTCGCACCATGCCCTTTGGTTTGTGTAATGCTCCCGCCACTATTCAACGGCTGATGCAAGTTGTCCTGGATAGGTTAGTTCCACAACGATGTTTAATATATCTTGATGACATCGTTGTCCACGGAAAATCCCCAGAAGAACACATAGATAACCTACGTACGGTCTTTAAACGCTTACGCACGGCGGGCTTAAAGTTGAAACAGTCTAAGTGTACCTTTCTTCAGCGAGAAGTTATTTTCTTGGGTCACCGCATTTCCCCAGTAGCATCCAGACAGATCCAGCGAAAACTCGCCTCATCTCCGACTGGGCTGTACCTAAGTGTAGTAAAGACGTTTGCAGCTTCTTGGGTTTCGCGTCGTACTATCGTCGCTTCGTCCCCGCGTTTGCCACCCTAGCATCACCCTTACATCGCTTAACGGAACAGGGTCGAAAATTTTTATGGACTAGTGAGTGTCAAGATGCCTTCAACGAGTTGAAGCAACGCCTCACGTCATCACCCATCCTCGCATTTCCTGACACGTCTCCATCGGCTGGCTCCTTCATTTCAGATACTGATGCAAGTGTCACTGCCATTGGTGCCGTTCTCTCCCAAGTGGCACCCGATGGTCGAGAACGGGTTATTGCATATGCCAGCCGTAAGCTCGACAAACGTGAAACCCGGTACTCCACGACACGCCGAGAGATGCTGGCTCTCGTTCACTTTCTCAAATACTTTCGTCATTATCTTCTTGGGCGCCCATTTCGAGCATGCACTGAACATCGTGCTCTGCAGTGGCTGGAAACCTTTCGCGAACCTGAAGGCCAGGTTGCTCGCTGGCAGGAACGGTTGCAGGAGTTTGATTTTACCTGTGAGTACCGCCCTGGACCCCGGCACGCTAACGCTGACGCTCTTTCCCGTCTGCCGCCTGATGTTTCCCCGGTGAATGCTATATTAAATACAGGTCTAGATGTTGATTGGGCAGCACTGCAGGCGTCTGACGCCGATATCCGACCTGTCTACTCCCGACAGCTTCACGGGAACGATAAACTGTCGAATAATAATAATAATAGTATATTCTCATTTTGTACATGAGAGACGCCAGTTTACAGGCATCATCAATATGATAAATTACATATACGATTAGCAATCATAATTAATAATAATGTTTTAATAAAATACACATTTTTCCTACTTGTGTAGGACACACCAAATATACAGGCATGGATAAGCATTATTTAAATTTCATTAATTTGGTTTATGGTTAAGTTACATGGTTGCTGGCGTTTTTGTCTTAGGTCTGTGGGAACAATATGATAACCAGTCATTCAATGGAGCACATCATGAAATATAGGAATATTAACTTCGCATTAACAAAAAAACCCAAGTAAGTTTTGGATGGATTAAAAATACTTGGGAAAAAATAAAGCTTGAAGTAATTCCTCAATATAACGGGTGTGTACAAATCCGAATCTTATTTTTGATTTGATTTATATCCAAATTGGGTAATATATATATATATTTCTTCCTGTTTATGCAGGAACATACCAATTGTACAGGCATGGATAAGTTATTATATAAATTACACATAATTTGAGGTAGGATGAATTTACAGTTTGGTTGTTCTCTCTGACATGAGAGTCAGTCGGAACAGTCTGCTATATAGTCTGTCTGTTTAGCACATAAAGAGATATAGAAATATTGTCTTCGCATTAAAAAAACCCAGACATCAGATGAATGTAATACAAATATCTGGGAAAAAAAGCTTGAAGTCAATTCTCTTACATAACTTTGTTGTGAACAGCACCCTTGGCTTAAAGTTTATTGATGTATTATGTTGAGATCAGTGATATATTTATTCCATTTTTTCAGTAGACTTACCTTTGTTTTATAACAGGAAAGAAATTTGATCGCGGATACGGAAACTAGATGAGGTCATGTTATGTTGTTTTACTGCATCAAATGGTGCCGAGGTCGATTCCAGAATTCTCCATTTGCTCCATTTGTGTCTGCATGGCGGACTGTATTCGTAAGTTGAGTAAAATGTTGAAAACTGTTTGAAAACCAGTTGCTTCTTCATTTCAGATCATGAATACTCATTTACAGCATGTTCGCCAGCGTCTTCAAATGGTGGAATTGGATCGTTCATGGAATTTGGGTGGTTATGAGATAGATGGTTTGGAATTAATCCTCATTTCAGTTTAGATGCAGGGTTGTTCGACCTCGACCAGAAGATGAATAGGAGTAGCAGAGTACCAAAAAGGAAAAGTATGTAAACATTAAAAGGACATTAATGCATATATAAATGTTTGTTAATTGTACAGTACATTAGTAAAAAGTTATATGTATTTTAGTTGTCTTTTCACGAATATATGCGAAGTCTTAGGGTTTATTTAGTGTCATGATGTGTATTAATGAGTCTGAGCGTTTTAGTGTTCTAATGACTGATGCGTTTTAGAAATAAGTGATGGGTTCTGGTAGGGATAATCATTGGGACAAAACAGTTTACATAGCAAGCGTTTGAAGGTTACAATCAGGGATAGGTCCTATTTCTAAGGGTAAACTAATCCTGTATGTTCCGTACTGTCTTTATGCATCCATGCTGCTAGTTTATTTATAGTTTTTAGATTGCTAAGGGTGTTGAAGTGCGTCTTTTAGGTGCTGTAGTAGATTAGTAGTTGATTCGTTCTAGGAGTAAATAGTTTATTAATATAATCAGTAGAGTGAAACAGTCTGTATAGAGAGCGTTTGAAGCTTGTAACCGAAGAGCAAGTTCTGACATCTAGGGGTAGGCTATTCCATATTTTAGAATACATGACTGTGAAGAAGTTTTCACGGAGTGTTGACTTAAAAGAATGAGTTGTCACTGTGGAAGTTTGGTTACGCAGATCGTAAGAACCTTCCTGTGCGAATTGTATGTCCCTGTTACCTGAGAATGATATTTTGTGAAGGACCTTAAAGAAGAATATTAGGTTTATAATAAGTCGCCTTGTCCAAAGTGGGTCAAGTTTTAGGATCATGCACCGTGAGATGTAGTCTTTCTTACAATCATAGCCAAGTAGTTTTGAGGTAAAATATCGTTGGATACTTTCCATCCTTAGCTTATCACGTGTGCGAGTGCTGCTTATAATAAATGGACAGTATTCTAGTAGTGGTCTGACACATGTTTTGTACAGAATTAGCTTGGCTTCATTGTCGTGAAAGTTCCTGAGTATGCATCCTAAGAGCATCCTCGATTTTCTAGTCTGTGATGCTACTTGCTCAGAGAATGTCAAGTCACTAGAGTACCTCAGGCCTAGGTCAACGACACTTCGGAGTCTGGTTAGGTTAGCAGATTGAAGCGTTAATTTCAGGTCAATTGAGGGTGCGCCGAAGCAGATCCAGCCACATTTGTTCAGATTGAATTGGAGATTCCATAGGGACGACCAAGCAGTCATTTTATCTAATTCCTTCTGCACTACATTCTCGAAGTTCCCTAAGTCATCACTTTGGAATGTATAAGCTACTTTTAGGTCATCTGCAAAGATGAATGGTTTCCCGTGCGTGAAGCAAGCGCATATGTCATTGATGTATAGCGTAAATAGGAGGGGTCCAATGACACTACCTTGTACTACACCAGAAGTGATAGGGCTAGGTTTGGAGGTTGCAGACCCGAGTTTAACTATTTGGGACCTATTGTTAAGGAATGA